ATTACTTTTAAATTTCCATTTATTTATTTATACTTGATGCCTTCCTAGTACCTCTTGGCTGCTCTGGAGACTCACCAGGTATAAGTGGTGAAAGTCAGAGGCTCATGGGTGTGGGTGATGACCTGACGTGTTTCTCCGTGTCCACCACATCACCTGGTGAATCCAAGGCTAGTGGTCCAGGCGTCCCCTCCTCTGGTAGGATGGGTCCCAACCTAGGTCTACTTCTGCACCAGATATAAAATATACGTGCTATATTTCAAATTCCTGCACATGTACAATCATCTAAACCAGAGGCTGGCAAACCTTTTCTACAGAGGACCAGAGTCAATTTTTTGTTTGTGAGCCATATGATCTCAACTGTGCGTGAAGGCAGACAGACAGATGAGATGGTAATGAGACAACAGGAAGTGTGTGGATGAATGACCAATCAGAAATCAAGGTTTAGATTCTGGGCTTTTCCAAGCTAGCTGTGTGACTCTGAGCCACTTACTTAACCTCTCTGGATGAGGCTTCACGTAGGACTCATTCCAAGGTATCTGCATTTCAAGAGGACACCTAAAGAAGGCAACATTATAACTCAATTTCCAGTGGAGCCAAACGGCACACAGATGAAGGAGCTCATAAGAACATCTCACATCAAGTCGTGTCAGTCTCCTCACCTCATTTATTATGACGTCCATGTGACCATAGCCAAACCGAGTGATGTGAAGGGTTCTGTTAATCACATCCCAACTTGTGAAGCTGATAACAGGCTAGAGAGAGTTTTCAGGCCAAGCAGTAAGATTATTTCTTAATCTCATTTAAAATACTGTCCAGTCAAAGGATGTAAATATACATGTCCTGCCCCCTCAGTGCTTCCAAGCTTTACTCAAGAATTAAATACTTGCACAAGAAAATATGTTCAACATCGTTAGTCATCAGAGAAATGCAAATTAAAACCACAATGAGATCTCACCTCACACCTGTCAGAATGACTATTATCAAAAAGAACACAAGTAACAAATGTTGGAGAGGGTGTGGAAAAAAGGGAACCCTCCTGCACTGTTGGTGGGAGTATACATTGGTGCAGCCACTGTGGAAAACAGTATGGAGTTTCCTCAAAAAACTAAAAATGGAACTACCATATGACCCAGCAATTCCATTCCTGGGTATGTGTCTGAAAAAAACCAGAAACACTTATTCGAAAAGATACATGTACCCCAATGTTCATAGCAGCGTTATTTACGATTGCCAAGATAAGAAAGCAACCCAAGTGCCCATCAACAGACAAATGGATAAAGAAGATATGGTGTATATATACAATGGAATATCACTCAGCCATAAAAAAGTGCGAAATTTTGCCATTTTCAACAACATGAATGCACTTGGAGGGCATTATGCCAAGTGAAATAAGTCAGAGAAAGACAAATACTGTGCGATATCACTTATATGTGGAATCTAAAAAATACAACAAACTAGTCAATGTAGCAAAAAAGAAACAGACACAGATATAGAAAACGAGTGATTACCAGTGGGGAGAGGGAAGGGGGGAGGGGCAAGTTGGTGGTAGGGGATTAAGAGGCACAAACTGTTATGTATAAAATAAGCTACGAGGATATATTGTACAGCCCAGGACTATAGCCAATATTTTATAATAACTATAAATGGAGTATAATCTTTAAAAATTGTGAATCACTATATTGTACACCTGAAACTTATATAATATTGTGTATCAACTATATTTCAATTAAAGAAATCCCCCCAAACAAAATTAAGAATTAGCAAACACTCATTTGTTCTGTGTTTGTATAAAGGAATGGGCAGGCAATTGTTAGAATCATGGCCTTACTGCCTTTAAATTTTACTAATTAAACCAGAATTCACAAAAAATGTCCGCCACATCACGCTGGCCCCAGGGGCTGCATGTGAACAACCCATAGTAACTGCTCTGTTCTTGGGATGCCCCTCTCCTTTCAGAGTAGGTGAAATGTAGCACAGGTACTCAGGCAAAAGGAAGGAGAAAATGGTGCTTCTGTTGCTTACGTTACCTATTCTTCCCCTGTGGCAACAAATACTTTAAGAGGAAATGACTACGACATCATCCTTCTATTTAAAAGAAACGTGCACCGGTTTTTCTCAGTGCAGCCGTGGCCGGTCTGGGCATCGCAGTGTCGCGAGAGTCGCCACGGGCGGTGCGATGTGGGGAGTTTAGCGGCAGGAGGGTGGTGACCGTCCACGGGGCTTCCTTCACGCTTTCGCGTAGGGCCGGCCCTGCAGGACACACATGTTCCTTATTTGCAGATTCAAAGGGCATCTTGCTGGAAACAAATTCCGCACCTTGTTCTCCTCCAAACTATTTACACATGAGGAGGGATCATGGTCCATTGGCCAGTCAGCTATCCTTCATTGCCTGGAGGCAGCGGCCTGTGCTCCACGGTCCTTTCACCACCTGACCCTCCTCGACTTTTTTTTTTCTTTAATTTATTTTTTATACAGCAGGTTCTTATTAGTTATCCGTTTTATACATATTAGTGTATATATGTCAATCCCAATCTCCCAATTCATCCCACCACCACCACCCTCCCCCCGCTTTCCCCCCTTGGTGTCCATACGTTTGTTCTCTACACCTGTGTCTCTATTTCTGCCCTGCAAACCGGTTCATCTGTACCATTTTAAAACTTTTAAAATGTTCTTTTTCTCCACGTGCATCTTGACCTGCAGACATTCCCAATGGACTCTTGCCCCACGCGCCAATGATGTCCAGCCTGAGTGCCTTTGCACGGGTTCTGCCTTCTCCTTAGATACCCTTGCCCTGGTTCTCTCCTAAGTAAGCACCCCGTCTGCTCAGAGAGCACTGCCTTTGGCGAAGCTCTCTGGCCAGAGACGGGCATTTTCTCCCCACTGCGTGAGGATGGCTGCCGAGGGGTAAATGCTCCTCGGGCATCAGGCTCCCACTAGACTTAGTGCCCCAACAAGGTCTGTCCTCTTTTTGTGCCTGGCCGAGTGGAGAATTTAATAAATGTGTGCTGGAACGAATGAATGACCATTTTATATAAGAGAAGATAGTTTAGATTTCTAACATTCTGCTTTCATCACATTAACATTACAAATAGGAGTTATTTTTATTTTATTCATGGTTTTTACTTTTAAAATTTTATTTTTATTGAGGTATAATTGACATATAACATTATATTCGTTTCAGGTGTATGACACAGTGGTTTGCTATTTGTATATATTGCTAAATGGTCACCACAGTAAGTTATCATCCATCAGCATCCATAGTTATTTCTTTTCTTGTGATGAGAACTTTTACAGTCTACTCTCTCAGCAACTCTCAAATATGCAACACAGTATTATTAACTGTAGTCACATGCTGTACTTCTCAGGACTTAGTTATTGTATAACTGCAAGTGCGTCCCTTTTGACCCCCTTCACCCCCTTCTGCACTGCCCATGCCCCTCCCAACCTCTGGCAACCACCGATCTGTTCTCTGTACGAACAGGAGTCGTTAGAGGTCAGAGCCTGAGTCTCACTCTTCTTTGCCTTTCTGTGCTCACACAGCGCATGGTGGTGACACTTAACACATATTTGGTGGTTGAAGGGAGGGGCAAGCGGTCGAGCAGGGGATGTGGTGAAACCTCCACTCATCACCTCACACCACAAAGGAAACAGAGGAAGCTGTGGGCACCTCAGGCCCACAGATGCAGGTCTGATGAGGTGACAGAAAGGCTAGAGCCATCGCTGCAGAGCTGGCCTGGGTGAACAGAATAAACATGCCCTCGTGAAGCCCTTAGGACGTTCGGTCATTTATTTAACAAATGTCTACAGAACCACAATTCCTAATCTGAAACTTGTGAGGCCAGACGTGTTTCAGAATTCAGATTTCTTTCAGATTTTAGGACAGTAATATACCATATAGCATGTAAAAATGGGGTCTAGGGCAACACTGTGGAATAAAGCACCTTAATGTTTCTCCAGAAAAGCGTCTTTGCATTTACACCACTTGTGGGATAAACTAAAATAGGCTCATGCAGCTCAGGTCAGGTTTTGACTTTGAAGGCATTCAGGTCAGGTCAGGCTTTGCTGCCAACTGTGTTACCAAACACTTCCTGTTTTCAGAGCTGTTGGGGTTTTCAAATTGTGGATGAGGGATTGCAGAACTATATCCATGATCCTCTGAAACAAACTTTCTCCAGAAGAAGAAACTTAGAAAAGAAGTCAACAAACACACACTCTATCAGTGATTCCCAATGTGGTTTTACCGAACAAAAGTCATCTTAAAGGATCTTATTAAAATTGGAAGAAAAAAATGAATTTGAATGTACTTTTTATTAAAAGATAAACCTTGACATCGCATGTATTAGTCTTAACCAATGGCAAAGTAGATCTGATAAGCAGGATAGAGGGTTTCTAAACCCACAACAGCTGTTCCTTGCAATCTTCACTGCAGGGAAAGTTGGGGCAGGGGTCGGGGGGTGGGGGCAGTGAAGGAACAAGTGGCAGCGGCTAAAATTAGAGGCCGCTCTGCCCCAGGGCCTGGTGATCAAATTTGTACTGTACCTGCAAGGGCTCCAGAATCATCACTTTCTCCTGTTATTTAATGCCGGACATTCCTTTATCTGTGCAGGATGCATTTCTTCACAGCCCTCCCGCCGCCTTCCCCGCCCCCCCAAAAAAAAGTGGACACAAGAAGCTCTGCCCCGTGTGAAGGTGCAGAACCAAATCCCCTCCACTGCGTTTCAGGCTCATTGCCTGTCCAGATGGCGTCTGCAGTTTTACCACGAGGTGAAACCCTCTTTAAAAGCTGTTCAGAAAAATACATAATATTCCCCCGGTTGTTCTGGTTCCTGAATGTCTTTAAACTGCTCACCTCCATCCGCAACTCCCCTGGCTTTTGCGGGGAAACTGAGATTCTTCGCACCCTACCAAGGCGACCTGCTGGAGGTTGAGAGAGAGGAGGGGCCTGGAACCCGCGCAGATTGCTGCGCTCACCAGGAATGGGCGTGTCTGCCCCTCTGACTGGAGCCCAGTGCTGTGTCCCCACCCTCCCCGGCCTGGGGCCCCCTGCTCACTCCGTGGAGCCAGCCTCAGGTTCCTTCTGCCTTTAATCTCTGCTTTGATCACTATGGACTCACTAACAAAGAGACCTTCAGGCTTGGCCTGGAGAAAATCTGGGATCTTCCACGGAGACAGCATTTTCGTCCTTGTACCACCTGTACACAATCGTCAGCCTCTCTTCCGAGCTTCCTCGTAGGACCAGGCATGGCTGGTCCCCTTGCTTCTGTTCCTGTGGGGTCATGCTCATTGCTTATGTGCCAGTGGGGTTACCTGGGCCAAGGCGAGAGAAGGACCCTCCCCTGCTCTCTCTTAGAAGGGGCAACAGGGAACAGGGATCTGCCAGCTGTGTCTAAACACTCAGATAAGGATGCTCAGCACACAGCCCCACCCCTGAGCCTTCTACCTGCCCCACATTTATAACAGTGGGAATGAGGCTCGTTTTAGGAAAAAAGAAATGGCCATCTGGGTTCACAGTGCTGGGGCAGGGGGCAGAGGGCAGAGGGCAGAGGGTGGGCGCAGAAAGGGAAATTTTACGATTGAAGCATGATCTCCAATTAAAGGATGAAGAACTTCACACTTGCACAGAGGGACGTCAGGGTCAAGCAGGTGGGAGAAGGGCCTGCATGGGGCTGGATGATGCGGACGGAACTGAAGATGTTCATCTGCGTGAGGCTGGCCCCCAGGAGCCTGCATCTCTGTGGGGTCCCGGCAGAGGTCAGCTGTGGAAACAAGCTCAGGCTTTAACCCTTTCCCAGATGGTGTCAGCGTGTATTAAATCCGGACACCATGACTCTCAGGCCTCTTGGCAGCAGAGACATTCGAACATGGCCGTTTGGGAGAAATGGGAGACGGTCACTGATGGAGCCCGTGCTGAGCTGAGCACCTTGCAGGATTCCTCACAACTCCCATCTCTAAGATGAATGCCCCCCCCACCCCGACGCCAGGGTCACCGAGGCCTGGAGGCTCAGTGCTTGTCTGAGGCTGCAGAACTGCTAGGAGGTGGCGGCTCAGCCCTGCCACAGTGGCGGTGATGCAGGGGGTTCTGGACCAGCCTCTCCCCTCCTCCTGCACGAGCCGAAGGGGACAGGAGGCGGCCGCCGGGGGGAGCCGGGAGCACAGTCTGAGTGCCCTTAGCCTGTGTCCACGACAGTCTGATAATAAAATCATGTAGATCAGCGATGATTGAAAGTTAAGACCCCCCTGCAGAGTGGGTGGAGATGCACAGGCAACGCAGACCCCTTCTTTGAGGTTTTGTCCATCACCACCGGCTGAGCCATGTTTTCCAGAAAAAAAAACAGAGCCGGGGCCGTGGTGGAGCCTGGAGGTGCTCGTGAACTCTGTCCTCATTTTCCTTTGACTTCTTAAGTCTGAGAGCGTAAACAGCTGGACAAGAGGAACAGGGGCCCCCAGGGAGGACACAGAGCAGTGGGCAGAGGAAAGGGATCAGAGGTGAGAGCAGAGGCCTCCAGTGGGGAGGTCTGGGGCTCCCACCCTCCTTTGATGTAGACGATCACGCTGCTTCCATTTTATGCAAAATGCCGTAACACTGGAGTTTCAACGGCCTCTTTCAGATAAGACTGCTGCCCCAAAGCCCTTTAGGAATGGAAATTCTGGGGAAACTGAGGACCAGCAGAAACTCAGTAGAGCAGGTTCTATCAAGGCAGCTGGTTGACCTGAGCTGGGGACCCTTCTGCAGCCAGAGGTTGGGAGATGACTCTGCTCTGGGCGAGGGAAGTGATGGAAACTCTCTGGGAAGGAAATCAAGTTATTGGCCTGATTCTGCTCAAGACGAGAAAACCCATTCCTTCGTCTTCGTTCTCTCCAAGTTATATACATTTCACAAATGCGGTCTATTCAGGTGTTCCTCACACAATTTTCATAATTTGAGACTGAAATTCTCTGTTGAAGGATTAATGGGTAGCTGATAGGCACTCACCTGGGTCACACGTCCTGTCCAAAGTCCGCCTCGCCCTGTGACAGACAGCAGAGCAGGAGGTTAAGGTGCACGAGCTTTGGCATCAACAGCCTTGGGCTTCGACCTGGGCTCTTCTCCTGTGTCTGCCGTCGCTTTGCAAAGCCCTCAGGGGCTCACTGCCTTCATTTCTTGAATGGACATAAAACCTACCTTGCAGAGTGTGATGAAGCTGAAACAAGGTGGCGAGAAGTACCAGGGTGTTCAGTAAACAGGAAGCGCTGTTGCCGGGGAACAGGTAGGTCTCTGCCAGAGGCAACGTTCACAGATGGAACAATGACTGGAAGTTGACTGGGCGCTGTCAGCCTGGAGCTGGAGAAAGGGAACAGGGCACGGCTATTCCGAAAATCATTTACATGTGATGCATCCTCCCTCAGGCCGATTGACCTTGCTTATTACCTCCACCCCGGCTAATATGGGGATTAGTCTGTCTTTCTCAGCCCTTGCTCGTGGCTTGTCTGAAAGGGACTGTGGCCCAGAGCGTTCTGAGTGGTCTGGGACTAAGTGTGTCCAGGGAATTCAGCTACAGTGAGAGGTATCCCCCGCTCCCCCAACTTGATTATCTATAAGGAAGGATCCTTCGGAGGCTTTCCCCCTAACCTGCTCATTGCTTACTTTTAGTCTTTCTCTCCATCTATACTCTGTAAGCTTAGCAGGATCAAATGAAGTTTCTCCCCTGACATCTCAAGACTGCAGTGAGATTGTGTCTCTGATGCTACACAGCACGTCGCAGCCTCCATGGGCACCAGGACGTTCCATTCTCTGAGACCCAACTTTCTCGCCTCAGTAACACCCGGGAGAAAAATAAAGCCATGCAGGGTGTTCTCACCGATCCTTTCAATGCCTTCCTTTCAACGTTTCCTTCTTGGCAGTGTGACCTCTGCTCTCGGCTCTGGGACCCTCAGGGTTTGATGACCATTGTTCCAACCAAACTGACACCCTCCCAGCGCTTCAGGTATTGAAAGGCACCTGGCTTGTGCTCACTTCAGTTGGAGGAAATACTAGCTCCATCGTGCCCTTTCATCTCAATGGTCAGTAAGCAAACAAATAAAGCCTGGAATGCTGTCTTCATCACTGCTTGCTTGCTTCCTACCGTCAAACGCTGGGGCTGGAACCTCTGTTCCATACACTTGAGACGCCCTGAGAACTGCAGTCATGGCCATGGAACAAGCCTCGCCCATCACTGGATTGCTAAGCAGGTACAGCCCAAATAAACTGGTTTTAAGTTTGTATCAGCCCTTCAAGCCCATGTTCCATAGGTAATTTACACACAAAAATGACGGGCAGTACCTGCTACATCATCTTCAAAAGCACCCAAATTCCTCGTGTGGATGGGAGTAGATGTGAGTTACCACCATGTGTGGCAACTTACCTTAAGCTGAAGGGAGCCGGGGGACCTGGCCCTGTGACCGGATGCTGGTATCCTTTCTTGAGCATCGTCCTTGGAAGAGCCTTGTGGAGAAACACAGTTGAGTCACTTGTTTAGCGAGCTTTAATATTTTGAAAGTTCGTGAAACTCTTTAGATTATATTACATAAGTATTTATGTTACATTAAACATTGACTTATTTGAACTATTCTTTAAAATGAAATATTACAGGATCAGTATTATTTAAACATATATTAAAAATAAATATTAACATAAATATTATATGTACCTATATTTGCTGCAAAACTTAAATTCTTTTTTCTGTTGGGGAAGTCCTTTTTGAAAATGAGCAGAAGCAGGTACCAACAAATAAAAAATATTATTTAAAATAAACAAATGATTTAAATGGTGCATGCTGAAGTGTGAGGGAGCCTGAAAAAATGCACCCTCCCTTCTCAGACCAAGTTCTGAAATGACAGAGGAATGTGAGGAAGAGTAAGGCAGGCAGGAGCTCCAAACATCAGCTGGTCTGTCTGTGAAGAGTGGGCTTCGGAACCCCGAACCCACAGGGACAGACCGGCCACGCAGCCCGACCTTCCTCCGAACCCTCCTGCAGGGGGCGCTGCTGAGCCCGAGCTCTCTGGAGGGAGGTGGGCGCTGGAGGTCCAGGGCCTCGGAAGTGCCTGGGCTCCACCACAGACCAGGGGTCCCCTCTGTTCTCCACTTAGGAGGAAGCTTCAGAACTGGGGAAAAAGCCACGCCAGCCCGCAGTGATTAACTCCTGAACTTAAGATTTCCATTTATGACGGTTCATTTATTTATTCCGTCATTATTTATCTGTTCCCTCTAATCCTCTGGTTCCTTTACGAGATGAAATAGTATGTGAAGTTCATCAGATTCTATTTTCAGACTGCCTGGGTTTAAATCCTGGCTCCACTGCTTACTAGCCATGACGTGGGGCAAGTAACATTTCTAAGCCTCAGTTTTCTGTAAAGTGTTTACCTATGTTATGATAATACATGAAAAGCATCGTTCAGTTCTTGGTGCACAGTGAGTGCTCAGTAAAGTCACTGATGGTGTTGCTCGAGCTGTTTGTTTTTAGTCTTCCTTGTACCCTCATGAACACACAGACCAGTGCGTCTCAAACGTCAAAGCTCGGACAGCTCACAGTTAGTCTACCTGGAGTGGGGCTAGAGCATCTGTGTGTCTACCGCTCCCTAGGTGATGCTGACCTGCTGGTTTAGGCACTGCACTTGGAGGTGTGGGACCTGCATGCCTTACACAAGGTGCTGGATAAGGTAGACACTTCTTAGTTTTCTCTTCTTTAGCTAAAACAAAATTCTTTAATAGAATCAGCTGTCTCTGTCTAATGCTTCTGTCCTCAATATTTTAAAGGGTCAATCCATACCTAACTAGGTGGTAAAAGGCTTCGGGATGGGTTGGACTCAGGTCTGCCCCTAACGTTTGCAGGGTTCAAGGCAAGATTTCAGTTGGAGGCCCATGTGCTGTATGTCCAAATAGTTAAAAAGTTATGATCAAACAAACGAGCTTAAATAAAATCTGTGCTACTCCCAACAAGCACATGGAAAGATGCTCAACATCACTATTCATTAGGAAAATGCAAATCAAAACCACAGTGGGATACCACCTCATACCCACTAGGAAGGTGCTATCAAAAAACAAAAACAAAACAAACCCCCAGAAAACAGCAAGTGCTGGGGAGGATGTGGCGACACAGGCACCACTGTACACTGCTGGTAGGAATACGAAGCGGTGCAGCTGCTGTGGAAAACAGTACGGTGGCGCCTTAAAAAGAAATTAAAAACAGAGTTATGTGCCGCCGCTGCGCCTTTCACCTCTTCGGGGGCAGGGGCCTGGGCCAGGTTTTACACATCTGCAAGCAGACCGTTCCGGAGCTCTGCCAGCCGACCTCATGGCGTCCTCTCCCACTGTGCCTCTGGGGGCTCACTATGAAACAAAGTGTGCCGTCCTCGGCTACTTGGGAGTCCTCTCTCAGGAGGAGCTGCGGGAGTAACATCTTTCCTCACCCCAAGGGGTTCGACAAGATATGGCTTCACAATCTCTGGATCAAGAAATTTTATTAAAAGGTAAAACTGAAATTGAAGAAGAGCTAAAATCCCTGGACGAAGAAATTTCTGAAGGCTTCGCCAGCACAGGCTTCACCCGGCACTCTTTGCCCGTGTTCAGCCCCACAAACCCCGACAAGTTCCGCAGAGGACCGCTTGGCCCACCTGGGGAGAAGGCGTCGCAGGAGCCGAGGGCGCCTCTGCGCGGGGTCTTGCAGTCGCCCCTCCGCCGGATGCTAAAGCTCTTCAGCCTGGTAGACAGACCCCCGTGAGGACTCCGCGGCGCACAGCAGCGGCAGACAGTTCAGGAAAGGAAGTGGAGGGACCGCTGCAGGCAAGCAGAGCTGCAGGGAGCACACAGGCTAGGGGCGTACCAGGCACGTCGGGAACGTACACTGGAGGCCGCAGTTCACGCCAGCGGCCGGAATAAGACGTTGGTGCCTCCGATTTTGCTACGACCAATGCTCTTGGGGTTGACAAGGCAAGCTCAGGAGCCTTGCAGCGCATCGCTGCAGTTTGGTGCGACTTTCCCGGAGGACCACGCCGCCGAGCGCATCAGGCAGCAGGGTGGCTAGGGCACTGCCTTTAATCTCCTTTAACCTGGAGTCCGCGGAGGAGGACGAGCAGCGCCCCGCGGGGCCATGGAGGACAGCAACGACATCCACGTCCCGCCCAGGGGCGGCTCCACGCTCGCCAGCCCCGCCGAGGCTCCGACGCCCGCCCGCGACGGCGTCCTGGCGGGCCGAGGGCTTCCCCGTGTCGCTGTCCAGCAGCCAGAGCTGGCGCACCGAGAGCCCACCGGTGTCCCCGGGTCCCGAGTCCTGTCAGCAGGTCACAGTGGACCCCGAAGAAGTCGAGAGCTTGGACAGCAACGGGGCCGGAGAGAAGAGCGAGCAAGTCCTCCACCTCGGACCTCGCGCACGTGGAGAAGCAGGGGTTCCCGAGGGCGCGGAGGCGGCGGCCAGGGAGCCTGGCCCCGAGGGGTCGGCCGCCCAGACAGCCGGCCTCACGACATCTCTGTCCGCAGAACTTGCTGAAGAAGAGTTGGGAGCGGCCGCGTCCGAATCTGCCGAACGGGAGCAGAGCCCCTGGTGGAGCCCCCAGCAGCCCCGCCGGGCGGGCGGAGAGCAGGCGGCCCGTGGGCGGGGCCCTGTCTGGCGGCCACGACTAAGCTGGCCCACCGCCCGAGGGCAAGTCCCTTTCGCTCGGCGGAGGGGCAGCTGCCGTTGCCATCCTGGAGGTGGCAGTTGGGGTGGCACTGGCTCTGAGAAGGAAGTAGATTTTTCGGATAGAGAAGACAAAAAGGCGTAAGGTTTTAGTCGTGTCGACCGGACTGGAGCGGCCAGGAGCTGGCTGGATAATCCCTTGGACATTCCGGGATCAGGAGGACTTGGGTCCACAGGGCAGGGGGCCGACCCACGTGTTAGGGCTTGAGCTGGAGGCTGCGCGCGGTGGTCTGATTGGAGGCCCCGGGCCTAGGCGCCTGTGCCCTGTAGGGTGCGAAGCCTCCGCCCACCAGCCCCGTAGCACCTTCCCCAGTGGTGACAGCCCCACCCCACGTGTCTCCCCGTGTTGCCAAACGTCCCCCGGGGACAACGTCATCCCGTGAGAGCCACAGTCTCAGAGCGAGAGGGTCCCCGTGGGGGGGCCTAGGGGGCAGACCCCAGACAGGAGGGCGTGGTGGGCCCCTCAGCTGCTGGCGCACTCCTGCCTGGGGTCTCTCAGCTCCTCTGTTCTTCCCACCCTCAGTCTCGCAGCCCAGGTGCTCTGCCGGGTCTCAGCCGCCTTGCCCCAAGGGTGCCCCGAGGCCCTGTGGAGAGGGCTCTCCCAATGCTTCCCGCAGTTCCGCTTGTAAAGATGCTGCCTTTAGTCTTTAAACGTACAAGACGGAAGAGACCCGGGGCCCCTGCCCGTGACCGCGGGGCAAGTTTGTCTCCGCGTTTGGAAGCTGGAGGGTGGCTTAGCTGGCCTATCGAGGTTGCTTCCAGCCCTTTTGTCTGTGGGCGCCCTTGAGCCGACGGGGACTCGCCGGCCGGCAGCGTCTCTCTTGCTGGGCATCGCTGTCCGTGACCTGGACTAGGGTGATTCGCAGGTTCTGGCCTCAGCCTTCTTCCCAGTCAGGCCGCTCCTCGGCGGTCTCTTGCCAGGTGATAACGGTTTCCACACGTGGGCTTACAGGCCAGTGAATCATATCTCTCATTCAGTACACGAAGTCCCCTAAATATCATTGAAGTAAAAAGCAGGAAAGAGAGGCTGCCCTTGAGGTTCTCTAGCTTGGCTTTCAGAATGCCATAACCGAAGCTTACACTGAGCTTATCACGGCCCAAATGCCAGAGTGACAAACCATAATGATCACGGTCAGCATGTGCCCGTGGAGACTCAGCATAGCCTCATCCACTGACCGCATCCCTCACGGGGAACAGCATCTCTTCATGCCTGAGGTCAGTGTCACTGACGGGACACATGTGCTTGAGACAGGTCATCTCAGATTATCCTAGTAAATGTAACAGATTACTTTTTAAATCCTGAAATTTGTAATAAAATTACTTTATCTATCCCGATCACCAAACAACAACAACAACAACAAAAAAAAACAGAATGATCATATAATTCAGCCGTTCTGCTTCTGAGTATATACCCAAAAGAACTGAAAGCACAGTCTTGAAGAGATATTCGTACACCCGTGTTTATAGCACCATCATCTACAATGGCGAAAAGGTGAAAGCAACCTAAGTGTCCGTGGATGGATGAATGGGATAGAAGAATGGATAAACAAAATGTGGTCTCTACATACAAAGGAATATTATTTGGCCTTAAAAAAGAAAAAAACCTTGTCACATGCTGCAAAAAGGATGAACCTTGTGGACATTATGCAAATTGAAATAAGCCAGCCACAATAAAACAAATACTGTATGAGTCCACTTACCTAAATAAGTCAAATTCATAAGGACAGGAAGAATGGTGCTGGATGAGGGTAAGGGGGTATTGTTTAATGGT